CCACCTACCCCCCCCCCCCAGACTTTTTCAAAGCTCCCCAAATCCCTAAAGACAAACCCACAATTCTTTTAACCCCCAAAACACAAAACCCAACACTTTCAAACATTTGAAGACCATAATACCCCCCTCTCTTTTTTCATGATGTCACTGTAGGCATGATTAGAAATGAGTTTTGATGGGGAAAAAAAATTCTAGTTCCCTCCAAATTCTTCCAACAACGTCCACATTGGTGATTGAGCTTTCCTGACGTTCGTTCATGAGGAAAAGAACATTACGATCTTGAAGACATTGGCGACAAGAAAAGGATAGAGCGTCAATTCGACGGCGCTGGCGGATTTGAGGTGAGTTGCGATGGATTCAGCGTCACTGTTCCCAAGAAAAGGTGGGAACTCCGGTGACTCCCGATGTGAGCTACAAAGAGAAGCTAAGGATCAATATCTGAAAATAGTTGAATTTGAGTGCTATATTTTTTTGTTATTTTATATATTATTGTAATTTTTTTAAAATCGATGACTTGAGATTAAAGCAGAGTCTATAAATTTAAATATTATAGTTATTTTATTGTAATGAGTTTGTTGTTAATGTTATGAGTTAGTTGTGAAACAATGTTATGAGTTGGTTGCGAAGGTTATGAGTTGGTTGCGAAGGTTATGAGTTGATTTTAATAACAAACTCATTACCGAAGTTCACAACCAACTCATAACATTCACAACCAACTCATAACTTTAACAACAAACTCATTACAGTAAAATAATAACAATATGTAAATTTACAGACTCTGGTTTAATCTCAAGTCATCGATTTTAAAAAATTACAACAATATGTAAAATAGCAGTAGAGAGTTATGAAATCGATGACTTTGAGATTAAAGAAAAGTCTATAAATTTACATATTTTACTGTAATGAGTTTGTTGTTAAGGTTGTGAGTTGGTTGCGAAGGAAGGTTATCAGTTGGTTGTGAATATTATGAGTTGGTTGTTAATGTTATAAGTTAGTTGTAATGTTATGAGTTGGTTGTGAAAGTCATGAGTTGGTTGTGAACCTCAGTAATGAGTTTGTTATTAACTCATTACCGAGATTCACAACCAACTCATGACCTTCATAACCAACTCATAACCTCTGCAACCTTCACAACCAATTCATAACCTTAACAACCAACTCATAATATTCACAACATGTTCATAATTTTAACAACCAACTCATAACCTTAACAATCAATTTATAAGGTTAACAACTAACTCATAACCTTAATAACAAACTCATTACCTTGACAACTAACTCATAAGGAAAATGAAGTGTTTAAAATGCTTGCACGATTTGATATTTTTAATCAAGACCACCCTCCACAAACAACTAATCGCATTTAACTACGAACACATAAGGAAAATGAAGTGTTTAAAATGCTTACACGATTTGATATTTTTAACCAAGACCACCCTCTACAAACAACTAATCGCATAATTAACCCATTAGCCAAACCAAACCACATCGTTTTATTATTTGCAAATTGAACCCTTACCGACACCATAAAAAAATTATAACAATATGTAAAATTCGAATCGAATTGGATCGATCTAGAGTGTCCATTTCCAAATCTTGATTCCTAGCTTCACTTTGCAGCTCACATCGGGAGTTTCCGGAGTTCCTGCATTTTTTATGGGAACGACAACGCTGAATCCATCGCAACTCACCTCAAATCTGTCAGTGTCGTCGATTCAATGCTCTATCATTTGCTCGTCACCAATGGCTTCAAGATCACAATGTTCTTCACCTCATGAACGAACGCCGGGAAAGTTCCGTTTCTAATCATCAAGGAAATGTTCTTCAAGATATTGTTAGAAGAATTTGGAGGGAACTAGAATTTTTTTCCCTCCAAAAACCCATTTCTAATCATCATGAAAGAGAGAGAGAGAGAGAGAGAGAGAGAGAGAGAGAGAGAGAGAGAGAGAGAGAGAGAGTTTTATTTTTTTTTATATGTTTAAAAGTACAAATGAGTTCTTGAATTTTGGGTTTTGGGGGCTCAGAGAATTATGGGTTTGAATTTAAAGGTTTTGGAAGTTTAAAAAAAGTCTTGGGTGAGGGGGGAAGACACTTTAGAGTTATTTTGCGGGCTAGAAGTTATTTTACCTAAAATTAATAAAGTTATGATATATGCTATGTCATCTATTTTGGGTGTGTTGTCCAATGGCCGTCCAAGTGGAGGCCATTTGAATCCCAACCGTACTTGAATTGGCATTTTGTTACGAAGAATCTAGCAGCCGAATGAGAAGCGAACAAGCATGTCGAATTATATACAGTTCAGTTATTTATTCCAAATTAAATATGAAGCCAGTGCAAGCATATAATATCAGTGACGGAGTCGGGACTATTTTTCTCGGGGAGGCCAAATACAACAACGATTATGCTATACATCAATTCAAAAGGAAAAATTCCTCAAGGACCTAAAATATGAGACCAATAGAGGGGACAAGTGAGGTGTCCCCCTCCTATTGGATAATGAGTTGGTCATCATTAATGATGACCAACTCATTATCCAATAGGAGGGGGACACCTCACTTGTCCCCCCTATTGATCCCATATTTTGGGTCCCTGTAGCAAAGCTCATTCAAAAGTTATCGAATATGACAATGTAAAGTAAACTAGCAAAAAAATTTTCGTGAATGCTTAAAGTATATAAACATACGCACCCAAGTCTTTTAAGTGATCTAAATTA